AGACAACCTGGTTTCTGAGTATAAATCAGCCTTTACAGTTTCTGACTGTGTTTACACGCTCCAATAGAGGGCTCATGTTTTCATTGACCTGTGGTTCAAATTAAGCAAAAGATCATTTCTTTTAGGGGTTTTGCTATGTAGCTGGTTTAGTTATTTTTTGTACTAGAACCACGTCGCCCTGGATAGAGAGCCATATCATCCATATCAGAACTTTATCAGGAAAGAGATGCTCAGAAATTAGGGCTTCTAATTTAATGGGAAAGTAATATTTTAATTTGGCAACGAAACAGAAGTTGACTTCACGCCTTCCTCACACATGAATTATGTCTGTATATCCCCTTGTGGGGTTTTTAAATGTAAAAATAAAAACAGATTGAGACATTTCTTAGCACTTCCTGTGTTGTGTTGCTATGTGCAAGAGCTTAATAAAGCACGCTGATTGTGACAAGCCTCCACATGGCCATTTAATACACAAGGTTGTCAAACCTTTTTCTTAAACGTACCATAAAATTACAAAACTCCCCTTTTTAAAGAAAAAAAATGACTTAAAATATTTATTTTTATGGTGAACAATTTATAAAGTTATGATGTAAGGAAAAGTTACATTATTTTTCTTTTAAATTCATAGAACATATCCACTATTGAATGATTTTTTTTAATGCTATGGTGAGTAGCTTCCTGAGACAATAAGCAGAGAGTTTGTTGCACATAAATGTCAGTCATAGGCTCAGACCACAGACCACATTTTGCCACTGACAAACCCTGCAGATCTACACACATCAAACAGACCAGCTTTTTTTAAAGGTATAAAAGCCTGGAGGCGTCAGCAACAGAGCAGCTAAACTAGAGGAAAACACTGCAGAGCAATTTAAAGGTTTCAAAGTTAAAGCTGCGGTTATGCTAAAGTTTTTTTAAATGTCCGAGCTAAAAATGAGATCATGCCATTAGTAACCTGTTGCCTGGCAGCCAACCTCAGCTTCCTGTAATGATAACCACAATGGGTTTTGCTTTCAAAAAATGCCTGTGATGACACTGAGAAGTTCATTCTTGATGCTCATCGTTTAACAATAATCACCAGACAGTTTTAAAACCCTCAGGCTTTCTTCTTTATTCTTTCTTTAATGAACAATTTCTCCTTTTTTTTTTTTTCCAGGAACAGCCGTTTGCAAAAGTTAGTTTTTCATGTAAGGTGCATTGAACTGGCGCTGGAAAAGTCTTTTATAAAATCTTACTTTTAGTCTATGACATACAGCACAATTTTTTCAAGTATGTTTAAATTTTCTGAGAAAGAAATATTTTCCCCACAATGTTTTTCAATACATATTGCTTTGTTGTCACATGCATTTCCTTCAGCTCAGTACATAAATATAACTAAAACAAAAAGCTGTTTTTAAACCTTCCCTATTTGAAAGAGATTATCTCCTCTAGAGTGTTTTTTTGGCATATACCTTGGATGAATTCAGCCACAGGTTATCAAGCATGAATTATCGCTTGAAGCTCACAAAAAAAGGCACCTGAATGGTGTTTAATTTCAGATCTGGACAAGGCTGATCCCGTTAATGTTTGGACTTGCTGATGTGGTTCAGAGCAGGTTTGCTCCCACCGCCATGATGTTTCACTTTGACTGTGATGATCTTTTCTGAATGCCTTTCTAGTCTTACACCAGACCACACTGCTCTAATGTCATTCTACAGAATATTAACCCAGATACGCAGCTGGTTGTTTTTCCCAAATGTGTGATGAGTCTTCGGCATCCTTTTAGTCTGAGGACATTTTTCTCTCTTTCATTGGTAAACCTGTAAAACCTCTTGACATCCACCTCATTTTGGGAAATTCTCACCTATTTTGCATACCCAAATGGAAAACCTAACAACTTAGGAACTGTAAGCCCAAAATTATATGTTTGATACATTATTTGAAAGCTAACACCTTTTAGTTTCTAAATATATACATGAAAATTGGGTGAGTAAAACACAGCCCAAGCTGCATCAGTTCAAATATGTTTTTTTTATTCTTGAAAATAATAGGTCTTTTTTGAACAGCAGTAATAAAGACACACTTGTTTGTTTTGGCAGCTGTCATGTTTACATTTTGGCATGCTGCTATATCTGTGTTAATTGTTCTTTGGTGCTCGCTGTGTCCATAAAATGAACTCAGTGGTTGCATTGTGGAGAATCTAAGCTTTCCAATGATGTCTAACATTTCTATATTGGTAAACATTTTACTGATCTAATTTTCATGCATTCTGAGTTATTAGATGTTAATGCTTTAAAACGGGTCGATGGCGACCTGGTGAGTTTTGAGAGGTTAAATGAATCAAAGGACGTCTGCTTTAGGTTCTTCTGTCGTCATGTTCCATGTTTCTCCATATGTGGATGATGGTTCTCCCTCTGTGTCTCCAGAGTCCCAGAGAAATTACTTTATAACTCTTTGCCAGCAGAAAGATATCTATGACTCTAATTCTACTCTTTATTTTAACGATTCTTTTAAAGATTGGGGGGGCATATTTAATACCTTTTTGGGATCTTTTAGTCTTCTTCATTCCATCAGAATGGTTCTATTCCAGGGACTTCTTGATTTTACAGCCTTTATATGGCATAAAACTGAACCAAAACATTGCTTAACTGCAGTTATGATATCATATTTTAATATTAAGCAAATTTAGGTTTTTTCCTTTAACAAGTGATGCACCTTCTGCAAACAATTTAATTCAGTTTATTTATATAGTGCCAATTCACAATATGTCATCTCAAGGCACTTTACAGAGACAGTTCAAAGTTTTCTAAAGAAAACCATTTGATTGCTTCGACTCATTGACTCAACAGCAATCCCTCACACCAAATACTATATGTGGTACCCTTGGCTGATACAGTTTCATGGTAAACAGGTGAGATGCTGAAAGGACAGATTAAAGAATGAACCCTTTGGATCTCGCAGCTCTAATAATCAGCTGTCTCTAACTGTCCATGAGCATGGGTAGCTGTAAACTGATGAACAAACTGCTTCAAAAGGTCAGACTCTTGACTAACCTTAAACAATCAATGGCTTTTAAAACAACCCATGTTTGCTTGCTTTTATTTGTTTGCCTATTTTATGTGTTGTCATGGTTAGAGCACCTTGACTAACGTGACAGTTCCTCATAAAAGGCCCCATAAACATCAGAATTCAAAGGTATTAAAACCATTTGCAAAATTGGGTTCAAATCATCTTAAAAAGGCCTTTCAGCTTCAACCCTTTACATATTTGATACATGAGAGCTCTGCATCATCAGTGTGATTTTTTTGTATTAGAAAACCCTGATTTAAACAATTAGACATGTAGTGAACAGAAAACTTGTAAAAGAATATACAGAAATACCTAATGTAAATATATGCTCTCATATAACACACTTATGGTTTTTTGTTGTTTTTGTTGTTGTTATTTTTTCATTTTTCAGAAAGTTCAATGACAACTCCAATAAAAAAATGGAATCTTCTGTTCATAATTTTAATTTTCAGGCTTTAAAGGTTTAAAGGCTAATAACCAAAATTTGGCTCAAAGATCACAGTGAACAGAGAAGATAATCAGCAATTTAATTTATAAAATGTATTATAATACAATATAAATCAACTTAACTTTCTTTCCTAGACAGTCATCTGTTGAGCTTGTTTACTGCTACCTTTTCTAAGATAGAAAGTATTTATAGATCAGTGCTTCTATGTTCCTTTTCTGTGTCTGCTTCTATCTTTTTTAACCTCCATTGGGCCTCAGCAGAATGCTGCTCATACTGAGCAGGGGGAGCTTATCCCCTCAGCTGTCTTTGCTTGGTGGTCAAAGGAGGGTAGTAACTAGTTACAGTAACTTGGGTAAGTTTTAACAAACAAATGTAGTTCAAGAAGTAATATTGAATAATATCATGATAAAATATTGCCAGTTTTATTGTAGAACATTTATTGGCTACTCCATCCAGGGTGTGTAACTTTACTGAATAACCAAAAAGCTTGTTTTAAACAAAAGCACTTCAGATAAAAACAAACAGTTAATGGTTACATCAAAAATAATATTTTTTTCATTTAAAACCTTTGTTTTATACAAAAGCTTAGTTCATATCTGGTGAATATTAGGAGGTGAAGCTGATAATACTGAAACTGGAGGGGCTATTCACTCAGTTTAAGTTAAAAGAACAACTTTTTTTTGTTTCTTTGCCTGGATTTCTTATTTTTCATCTACATTATTCATTTGTTTTAATTATTTTTAATATAGTCTTAAAATTACAAGAATTTTAAATATCAGAGATTATGATGAGCTACTCAGCACCTTTTTTACTAAATATTGTTTTACTCTCATTTTTATAAATTCTTGGATGGGTATTTTCTATGCTTTTACTTGAATATATGCTGTATATACTATAAAATATATTAAGATGAAAAATGAAACGATATTCAAGATGCTAACTTTAAACAAGTAGTTTTTTTCTAACATGAATATTGTAGTACTAGAGTTAATTGTATATATATATATATATATATATATATATATATATATATATATATAAATAAATCTTTTAACGTTTACTAAACTATATTAAATACACTCACACAACCAAATTTATACTCCCTTTGTTTTGTTTTTTTCTTTTGAGAGATTTGAAACTTATTTTAAACTGTAATTAAAATCCATTGTAATCAATTTTATTTATATGCAAATATAGGTAAGCATAGCTTATCAATTATTACATGTTTTTTTTATATATATATATGGTTACCTACAGCCAGAAAGCAAGTTTTAGCACAAGTCCTGCAAATTTGTGGAGCCCTCGAACCTTACCAACATGCATTAATTTTATAGGATGAATGGATGATCCTGATGTTCTGTTGGGATAATATGCAACATATTCAGTTTCTAAACCTGGTATAAATCTGAGAATATAATTTGAAATCTGACACCTAATGTATATTTATCTACTTAGCAGCTCTGTGGACGGCTAAAGTTCCTCATGTTTGTTCTGCTTTGTCTTTCAGGCGAAGTACCACTGGCAAAGTCAGAATGTGAAGCAAAGCGGAGTGGACGACATGGTCCTGCTCTCCAAGATCACAGAGGACGCAATCGTGGATAACCTCAAGAAGAGATACATGGACGACTACATTTTCGTATCCTACAAATAGTCAGATTGTTAACGAGCATTTGCTCTTTCAAATGAGGTTTAGTGACACTCAAAGTGATTAACGAGTTTTCTCCTTGATTGCAAAAGATGGATTATGTGTAGAATAATAAGGCTTTAGTAAGAAAACCTCTACTCTGCATTGTTTTCTACTTAAATTCCCCCAACCATCAAACAAACATATATGGTCATAAAGGCAAGAGATTCACTCTTCCTCCTTTTTGTCAGCCGCATGAAACAAATGCTCACTTCCTTCTTCCAAAAGCACGGCTTAACTCTGTACTTATATTTCAAATGCAACCGAAAGAAGTGTTCAAATGCACAAAGAGCTCACATGTGACTCAAATTCAAATTTTAGACAATTTTATATGAATAGCTATCAGAAAACAACAGCTTATATATATATATATATATATATATATATATATATATATATATATATATATATATATATATATATATATATATATATATATATATATATATTATTATTATTATATTTTTTTTTACTTTCTGTTGTTTTCTTTAACCTGATCTGGGAATTTCAAATACTTCCAAATAAAGACCTTATAGGGTATGTTTTCACCACACCATGTGAGCCAAGTGTCATCCACATCTGCTTGTTTGTTGTGAAAGAAACCAAGCCGTTTCCTCAAAATCTGTAAGGCTGTTTCTCCAAAAAGTAAAATCTTTAAATGTGATTTATTTCCTAATGTAAGCCACGTGTCAAACTGGAGGCCCAGCGGCCGAACCTGGCCCGTGACAACAAATTATCGGGCTATCAAGAGCCAAAATGAAAGGCAAAGTGAATAAAACTGAAAAATAAATGTATAACACCAGAGAAGTTACCTCTTTATAAATTAAACTGTAGGATAAAATCGAACAGTTTGTTTTATAAAGCTGCAACCAGGCCTTTTTCAAGGTGTGATGATGAAGAAGTGGATTGAAAAAAACTTGACTCCTCTAAAAATGACAGTTTAGAACAGATAGAAGAAAAAAACAACAGGAAGAGCTAGCAAAAGCGCTATAAGCCCAGACGTCTCCTGCTACAAACACAAAAAAGCTTTAACGGTTCAGATTATTCCACAGATAACCTTTAATGTCTTGACTCTTCTTTTTAGCAGTCAGGAAGTGCTCTGGGTCTGACGACCTGGCTTTTGTCAGATCTGTACATTTTCAGGAAACACTGAGGTCATGTAAAAATGAAGTCTTGACTTCATGTTTTCCCCCCACCTACAGGCTGACAGCTGTGAGACACACCCGTCAGTCAGTCGACGGATGCTCAGTTAAATTAATATTCTTTCAGTGAAACAAATATTTAGACCAAAGAATATTTCTTTTTTGTTGAGATTAAAAAGTCTTTTTAAAATTGAGTATTAAGCAATGAATAAAATTTCTGGAGTTACAGAAATGAAGGTAGACCTTAAAATATCACTGCTCTTGGTTTTCACCAATACTAACATGCCGTTTGATGGGTTTTCAATAATTTCCTTATAACTTTTAAATCATCTTCAGATCATATACTACTTTGAGTTGATATTTCCTTTAAATACAGGAAAAATCAACTGCTTAAAAAAATTAACATGCTTATATGTTTTACAGAAGTGCTAAAATTGCATTTACATTTGTGAACAAAGGGCGAGGGAGTCATTTGAAGTGACTTAACTTTGACTCGGCTGCTGTATTTATTCATTTAGCTTGTGCTTGTTGCGCAGCTAGTTTCTAATATTAATCAAACACAAACTGCAGATGCATTTGTGGTAAATCTACCCCAACAGTAACACAGCAGGCAAGACAATACTGCATTTCTCTGCAGGCCGTTTCCCCCCTGACTTTAGTCATTCTTTTTCAAAGTATATTTTCCTTCAGAGTAACAAAAAAACAACAACTTACAGATAAAATTATTTTATTTTGTTTTCCTTGGGATGGTGTTTAGGCTTAAATAGGTTAAATATTCTTTCAGAAATTGGTGTTATTGATCAAAACGTTTAGGTTTTTCTCTGGCTTTTTCAATTTTGCACCAGCTTGATCACTTCTTTTAAGTCACCTACATGGAAAGAAGAAATGTTTTGGCATGTTGGATTTTCTTAAAAAGTCACTATTAAATCAAATGTGAAAATAAGTTTAATTACGAGCATGATTCAATCTGCATAAATTCAATGTATGCATATATTCAATCTGTATACTAAATGCAGCATCAAGAAGGCTTTAAGTATACAAAACCAGATCAAACAAGCATATTTTCTAACTTTCCTTGACTGTTCTCTGTAGACATACATCGGCCCTGTATTGATTTCAGTAAACCCGTTCAAACAAATGCCCTATTTTACAGACAGAGAGATTGAACTCTACCAAGGCGCAGTGAGTAGAGGCACTTCTGCAAACTTGTGGAAACTGTGGTGAATTAGTTCTTCCTGCCACCCTTTACCCCAGAGTCTGTTTATCTGCAGGCCCAGTATGAAAACCCACCACACATCTACGCCTTGGCAGATAACATGTACCGAAACATGATGATCGATGGGGAGAATCAATGCGTTATTATCAGGTGAAAATACACTTTATAAACATTATCTTTCTTTGTCTTTCATTCTCTGTTGTGTGTAAAAGTATTTGTCTAGCAGCTTTAAAGAAATCTAATCAAAACATCTGGTGCAATAAAAAGAAAACAAAAAAAATACTTTTAGCTAAAGAATAAACTACTCTTGAAACTATAAGTATATATTACCTAGTAATCATGTTTAAAGTCTCGCAAATTGATGAATGTTCAGAGAGTTCATGATTGCTGCACCATAGAGCAAACCTACTGTATGATGACTTGGAGTTCTGGTAGATGAACCAACTGCAGCTGCTCTAGAGTTGTGTTGCTTGGGAAGGTAAATGGTGAATTTAAAAGGATGAAATATAAGCATGTCTTTAACCATTTTGCAGATGTGTCATTCATACAGTGGAGCTCAAACATGCAAGTAGCATAAGCGCTGAAAATATGAAGAAACCAGCAATTTGATATGAAACTCGAAAGTAGAGCTGGTCAAAATCTTTTTGATTGTAGATGTACTGTATGTAAGAGGTTAAGAGACCAATGTTTTAATCTTGTCTAGAGCAAATTTTCAAAGACTTCAAACCTTTTTTGCATGTTTAAAGAGACACGACTGAGTCCAAAGATCCTCCACCTGTGGCCAAAACTCAGAACTGCAGCACTCTTCTGTTCTGTTTTTTGTATACTTTTTTCACCTTACTTGGAGTTATCATTGGTATCTGAGTTAAGCTGGACGCCAGACGCTTCTGAGTATCATCAACATGTGTCTTGAAGATTATTTGCTTGCCTGGACCCTTTCAACATTGATTTGTTTGATGTCAAATCCGCAGAACAGGGCGGGGAACTTCTCACCCGAAGTAAATTAAGGAAAGTAGGCTACAGGGTCATAGATGCACTGACTCACTCTGGTATCAGTCTGCTCATCAGACTATACTTTAGTCTTAAAAGGTCACATAAAAAGTCAATTGTAGAGATATTTTACAGTAAGTACTTACTAAATATCGCTATAAATAAAGCTATTTTCCAAACAAATCTGCAAATTCAGAGTGGAAATGTAGTGAATATTGTTTTGGAGTGATAATAAAAGCTTATACACTCCTCAAGGTGGAGGGCCCTCTATATAGAAATTAAAGGAGCCCCATTACACAACCTTGAGGTACGCCACAGTGGAAAGCAATCCCTCAAACTAAGCATGCTTGAGGCGACAGAGGAGAGGATAAACTCCCTTTTAACAGAAACCTCCAGCAGAACCAGGCTCAGTGTGAGCGGCCATCTGCAGAGGCCGACTAATATTTTTTTTCAAAGTAGAATCAGACACACCAATTTATCTCTCATGAGAATATAATTAAAGACATAAAGCAGAAAAGTTATGCTGATGACTTTGATGTTGTGTGTGTTTTGTTTGAAGTCAATTAATTATATATTTTTTTGGTAGCGGGGAAAGCGGTGCTGGAAAGACAGTGGCGGCCAAATACATCATGGGTTATATTTCCAAAGTGTCTGGAGGTGGATCAAAAGTGCAGGTAGGAGCAGCCTGCATTTGTTTTGTTTTTTTTATTTAACAAAAATCCAAACACTGGCTTACAAATAATTGTTTTTGTGTCACCCTCTTTGTGTGTCGCAGCATGTAAAAGACATCATCCTACAGTCCAATCCTCTGCTGGAGGCATTTGGTAATGCCAAGACTGTCCGCAACAACAACTCTAGTCGTTTTGTAAGTAGCCACAAGCTATGCTAAAAACTTCACATGATTCCTCATACTGAAGAAGTTAAAAAACAAACCACTGGACTTTGTTTTCCAAGTTTGATGACATTTCGCTTTCCATCCAGGAAGCTTTTTCAATTCAAAATGTCTGAATTAGGGTTGAGTTCCAAGCTTTATACTGTAGAGTAGCCCCATTACCTGTTAGTTGAGGGCAGTCATTGAGGTCTTTGTTAGCCTGATTGAGGCATTGATTCCTTCCCGCCATCATAATCCTAATGGCCATGCAGGGGACCAAGACGCCTCACCTGGTCAGCCAGGCCAACAATGCCCCATTCCAAAGGGGCGGACCTGTTCTTCTGGTTTAATTTGCATGTCTTCTAAGCCAAAACAAGGCTTTGTTGGTCCTGCAGCCCACGTCTGCAAACAAAACTCGGCCCTTCTCCCGTTTTATTAATTTTTCTCAGGGAAAATCTTACAATTCAACAAAAACGGTACATATTATTCATCCTCTATTGGTTCCCGTATCCATATATGGAGTTATTTTTCTATTTTCTAATAAATCTGCTCTTCCTGGGTGTGTGAGAGCAAGGTCATTCTGCCCTCTTATCTACACATCCGATCCTCTCCTCTGCGAGCTCTGGCCTAGCACCTGGGACTAGTAAATCTGTTACCCATCCTTAGATTATACATCGCATATAGTCTTCAGTCCACTCTATAAAGCTTGGATCTCAACGTTAATTCAGACATTTTGAATTGAGAAAGCTTCCTGGATGAGAAGCGAAGCATCTTCGAACTCAGAAAATAAAGTCTAGTGGATTGTTTTTTAACTTTTTTTGGAATTATTATAACCTGGAAGACTTCACCAGCCTAATTCACCAGCCTAATTCCTCGTAGTTTTAAATAATTATTTGAAACAAATTCTCCACATTTGCTTATAACCATAATAAATTGAATTTATTTTCATGTTATTGAAATTTCTTTGGCAGGGAGTTCTTAATGTTCTTTATGTCTAATCCATATATTTAGCATCTGTATCTTATATAAGTGATAAGATTTTTTATCAGTTTTGAGCAACCATGATGTTTTGCAGGCTCAAAGCGGACATTAATGGGTTCAATTCAAATATCAGCACAACCTCTTCAGAGATATAAAGCTAAATCCTTATCTATCTTGACCAAAGAGTTTCACATCTATATAAAGAATGCAGAGTGACTGTAATACCTGTGTCACCTAAAATAAAAACTGAGACAACAAACAGAGCGTCGATAGAAGACTGAATGATTACCTGGTGACAAAAAGTATGAAAAAATAGAGTGTCATTTGTTTACGCTCTAGTTATGCAAAAACAATAAAAAATGAAGCCACTTCTTTCTCACCATTGTGGTCCTAAGACTCTAATTTCACGCTTATGACCACACCAACTTCCACATGTGCAGTTTTAGCATCACGGCTAAGCATGTGAAATTTCCTGTAAGGCCTCGGTGAATTATCATAGATCCTGTTTATGGGTCACTGCATTTTTGATGCATGCACAGTCGACTCTCACAATAAACCAGCAGATTTCTTTAACTAACTGTAATGCTTGGGGAGAAGTTCTGTCTAATCCCAGAGGTAAAATCTGACTTATTCAAAAAAAAGTAAAAAACAAGCAGCAATGAAGTGAAGAAGGATAAAGCTCTGAATATGTGACAACTCTGATTTTGTGTTTACCAGGGAAAATACTTCGAGATTCAGTTCAGCAGAGGTGGGGAGCCAGATGGTGGCAAAATTTCTAACTTCCTCCTGGAGAAGTCGAGGGTGGTGAGCCAGAATGAGAGCGAGAGGAACTTCCACATTTACTACCAGGTCTGAGGCCAATGAACGCAACACACAGTGTCCACTGCTTCAAAGTCCATAAAGTGTTAAATAGATTACAAGGTTCAAGATTAATGTTTGAGCATTTACCTTTACTGTGTTCATCCAGTTGATAGAGGGAGCCAACACACAGCAGAAAGAAAGCCTGGGCATCATGACTCCCGACTACTACTACTACCTCAACCAGTCTGGGACCTACAAGGTCGATGGGACCAACGACTGCAAAGACTTCTCTGAGACTATGGTAGATACCACAGAAAATTACAAACATACAGCCCTGTGGGAAAGTATCTGCACCCTTACAGATAAAAAAAAAAAATATATATATATATATATATATACTGTATATATATATATATATATATATATATATATATATATATATATATATATATATATATATATATATAAAACTGTTTTCTCACCCCTCGTGGGGTGGTATGTGTCATCCTCAAGCTGGGGTCCTCTACCAGAGGCCTGGGAGTTTGAGGGTATATACATATATTAAATCAGATTGTCAACCATATATTTTTTGCCCAAGTTAATATAAGAAGCAGCAAATTAATATTTAGTTAGAAATAATTTTTGCTAGAGTTTTAAAAGCATGGAGTGTATAAATATTTCTGTGAGGGGTGAGATTTCTTGATGATCTGTGGCATCAACAAACCAGTTAATGGAGAAATGAAATGAAATTTGCAGATATTGAGTTAACTGGAAAACCGTTTATTGAAGCCCTTCTGCAACGTATTCGACAGACCGATTTTTCTACTCTTAAGCTAGAACCAGTTTTTTCTTTTTTTTTTTGTCGCAAACTTCCAACTGTGAAACGACCAGCTACAGCAGCAAGAACGCCACTACTTTTAGAAGTAATGGGTATTCAACCATACCTATTACCGACAGGTGACACACTGTGAGGAGGTAGTCTTACCCACTGATCTCTATTTATTCACTGGATTGCTGATTGCCCGTTGGTAGTATGGGGTGGAAGGGAAGCCACCGGCCGCCATATTGGTGCTCCCTAGTTATACCGGTCGCAATGTAAACAATACGTGCCATACAGCATCGAAAACAACGATGATGTTGCCTTTTAAAATAAAAGATAAATTCATCACTTGGACACACACTTGCTGTTTCATCACCTAAGTAGGTTACTTTAACTTATAATAAAAAAAAATAGGCATATCACATTGCATAGTCATTATGAAGTCTATAAATGATGTAATATAACATGTTATACAAATCCATCACAACAAAATGTATGTGTTAATGGAGCATAATGATACAGATGTGCCAGAGGTGCTAAACTGATGATGTAAATAAATACAACAAACAACCTCATCCACTTTATAAAGAATTACTACACACTATACTATAGGATACACTGGTGTATATATGGATTTTCTTGGTTAGTACATCCACTGACGGTAAAATTACCTGTGGATCGTCTTCCCACAGCCGGCAGACTGCTTGTTTTTGCAGCCAAATGCTACACAGGGAGGCATTTTTACTACGTCTCCGTGGGAGTGGGGAGAACCAGCATAGTGGATGGTGGCTTCACTTACTTTACTTTTTTCGGGCAATCAGCAATCTAGTGAATAAATAGAGATCATTGGTCTTACCTCCAAACTGCTCCTTGCTCCTCAGTGTGAGTCCTCAAATTATACACCCAATGCAATGTAAGTGACGCAAGAAATGGATCGTCTGGTGTTGTGCTTCGGTAGGTATCCCTGACATCAGGTATTTTCTGAGCATCTAGGGCATATTTCCAGTGGGGAAAAGAGCAGATAGGAATATATAGGAAGCAATGGCACCTATTTTACTTTTCATCAAAAGTAAAGCAGCACAACTTTCCTGTTTGGGGGATTTGTATTGAGATGCATTCAAAGACAAGAAGCAAATCCTGTCACAGATTGCTACCTTTGACAACCATGACTCCGGTGAGCCTGTAATATTTATATTTCTGTATATTACCTCTCGTACTTATCTGATAGCATGAGGTCAAAACACCCAACAATAGCAAGCAGTCAGAAACCCACTTTCAAGATTTTTGGGACAAACGAACTACAGTCAGTAATCAGCAGTGGCTGACCGACCAAAATAGGTGGATCACTTTACTCAGTTAAGGACGGTGTTAATGTTCCAGGACTTAGAAAGGGGGATAGAGCAAATATGGCCCCCGTTAGAGGTTTCACAGAACAGGAAAAAAAAAAAAAAAAACACACACACACCTGAAATATGTTACTAAAAAAGAAAAAAAAAATGATGATGATGATCTCCAAAACCTCGGCAGAGATTTGTATGGTGCATGCTTTTACGTTGGATGTCAATAAAACAGTAGCAAAGGAAGTTCATACAACCCAATCAAAGAAAATAAAAAAATTCTGTGGTGGCTTACTTGAAGTTCAAGATTTTATCTCTAAGACGCTATGATATGACCTTAAAAGGGTGTTCATCACTGCAACAATCATCAAGCAAGAATTGAAAAACAAATTCCTAAAAAAAAAAAAAAAAAAGAAAAATCCTCCTCTGATTTAACAGACACAAGTACGCAAGTACAAGTACTTGATTTCTGTTTGTGTCTGTGTCTGTTTGACACAACCGATCATTAGGTTTAGGGTGTATTTACTTTTCAACAAGCTTTCCCTGTATTAATATAAACTATATAATCATTTGAAAAGTAAATTTTGGGCTTACCTCTGATTTAAAAATGATGAATATTTAATTGTGGTAAAACTGTACATAATCTTAACTTTTATCTTCATTTAGCTGCAAGCTAGTAGATGATGTGTGATGATCAAACATAAATCAGAATCACTTAAAGATATTTCAGCTGTGGCGCCAGGGGGACGCTAGGGGGTGCTATAGTTACCCATGGAAAGGTCTTAGTTCCCCAATATAAGTAAAGGTGAATACTTTTTCATCAAAGTTAATATTCTTGTACACGTGATTGTTCGTAATTTTTTTACAAAACACAACCATTTCCAATTAAAAATTAGATGCATATTTAAAAAAAACATTTAAACATATACAAATATACCATATGGGTTGTACTTCTATAGAGGCACTATATTTTTTTATAAGAAAACTTTACTTATTTTGTAATTTTTCAATCATTTAAATTGTCAAAATATCATGCTGTGCGATTCTACAGCCCCAATTACTGTTCTTCAAAGGTGACTAATATTACTTAAAATGCATTAATTTGTGTTTTCTGCCATTCTTGGCATTGTTTTATATTTGATTTGCAGTTCTGTCTCAAGGTATTTCTATTTCGATCTCTATTCAGATATTTTCGGGAAAGCTTTTCAACTTTCATTTATTTTGAAAATAACTTGAGGTGGAAAATCATCTGCTGCAGACAGCTTTCTAAAATAAACTAATTTCCTAAATTGGCGTACAGCCATGTAGCAGGATCTTTGCTGAATAGCTGGATATAGATCTTGAGCTTCTAGACCTCACTGAGGGACAGAGGGGACATTTGTAAGGGATATGCAAGTGATCAAAATGCTAACTTGCCCTCTAAAGGGTTAATGCTTAAAAAAAATTCAATTAAAGAATAACTGTAATTAAAAATGTTCAACAAAATAAAAATAAAGTCAAAATGAGCTTGTTTTCATTTGCAGGAAGCCATGCAGGTCATTGGTATCCCCAGTGACATCCAGGCTCAGGTGCTGCAGATCACTGCAGGTATCCTCCATCTGGGAAACATCAGCTTTATAGAGGCAGGAAACCATAGCCAGGTGGAAAGCACAGACTGTGAGTATAACCTAGAAGCGGACACACCCCCTGCAATAATACGAGCACACAAGGCAATTATACTGCTCCTCAGAGAGTTCATTAGATCAGACTACGACAAAAGCAGCCCCTTGGCTGAATACCAGCTAATTGCTCAAATATGTGCACAGCTGACTTGTTTATCTTACCTGGGGATTTTCTGCTCAGTACATATTGCTTTGTCTTCATTTATTTATACATTAAGGCTTGCCATTTATTTATACCTATGTGATTGTTGTTCCTTTTGTCTGCACCAGTGCTTGCTTTTCCTGCCTACTTGCTGGGAATAGATCCCCAGAGGCTGCAGGACAAGTTGACCAGTCGAAAGATGGACTCCAAATGGGGCGGCAAGTCAGAGTCCATAAACGTAACCCTCAACCAGGAGCAGGCCACCTACACACGCGATGCCCTGGCCAAAGCCCTTTATGCCCGTCTCTTTGACTACCTTGTAGAGGTTAATATTTCATATTTCCCATTTACAACCGCAGCAGGCTTAATTGAACACATTTCTGTTGTCCTGACGCTCTCCATCTGCTCTAGGCCATAAATAAAGCCATCCAGAAACCTTACGAGGAGTTTAGCATCGGTGTCCTTGACATTTATGGCTTTGAGATATTTCAGGTCAGTGTTTTCACAGTTTACAGGTGCACAACATTTACATACAAGCAATAAAACATGAAGGGATGATATATATATGTGGTGTTAAAATGCTAAGTTTACTTAGCTATCCTCTGAAAGTGACTTTTCGCATTTCTCTCTGTAGAAAAATGGGTTTGAGCAGTTTTGCATAAACTTTGTCAACGAGAAACTGCAGCAGATCTTTATTGAGCTCACTTTGAAGGCTGAGCAGGTAAAACATTTTTTTATTTTTTTTTATTTTAGAAAACCGTTAATGCAGACTAATAAACTCACATTGGCTCTGAAGCTGTTTTAAAAGAGTATATTTGTTTTACTTCTCATAATCAGGAGGAATATGTTACGGAAGGCATTAAATGGACCCCCATCGAGTACTTTAACAACAAGATTGTGTGTGACCTCATTGAAAATAAACTGGTAAGTACTTAGACAGACTCTATTATGATTTTGTACCCAGAATATACAAAAAGAAATTTTGTTCAGTAGAGCTCTCAAGATATTTTCCTTTTTTTTAAAAGTGCAGCAATGATAAAGGTAAGCAGCAGTGATAATATAAACATACGACTGTATATTAGTTACAGTTCCAACATTCAGGGTTTTTAAATACAAGAAAATACATTATCTATTAGTATTCGTATGTGTTATAAAATCTTTTAAATAGATTTATTTAATCTCACACAGAATCTTTTTTAAGATCTACTTCTGTGTTTGGTTGATACTTGGAAAGAAATGACTCGTTCAGTATTTGCCACAAGAAAAGACAAGACAAGAGAACATATAAATTGAGTAAAGCAAAGGAACAAATAGCATAGGAGGAAAAAATTATTTTCATAATTCAGGAAACGTCTAAAAGAAGCATATGTTTGGTCAGTTTTTCTGAATGAATGAGATAATGCTGCAATGATTTCATGGTGGATGTTCTCTTACTGTTGGCATAACAGATATCTAAGCAAGAAACGTTTTTCCTTCAGAGAAGCTTCAGCCTGTCCTGTTTGTTGGGTTTAATTTAGTTTGACTTCCTTTTGAATTAGGATCCTATTCCCATTCTCTTAGATGTAGATGTTGATGAAATCACTATTAGTTTGTCGAGTTTGCGTAGACACCCGCTGCTCAGGGCATAGTTTTTTCCCCCCTTCCTCTTCTTCTTACAGTTTATCTAATGAATTCAGCAATAACAGGATGTCTTTATATATTTTTTGTAAAAATTACCTCATTCATTAAGAATAGCAGACCAGATTCTTTTTATTTTCAGGTAAAAGAAAGACACTTGCATATAAAAAAAAACATTGTTCAAAATAACAATCACTTTAGATGTGGGAAAGACAACTTTGTATTAAAACTTTGGACACAGAGTGAGACAAGTAAAGCAAGCTGTTATTAACGCATTAACTTGTTGGGCTAGCTCCTTTGATATTGCCTGGAGCTCTCTGCTTCATGATCAGCTTAATTGGAAAAGTTTGCACATAGAAGGAATGTGAGTTTAGTTTGATGAAGAGATTATTACTAACAGCTTGCCAAATAAAACATTTTTGAAAGTTTTTTTTTGTTTTTGTGTTTTTGCATTAGTTAATTTTTTTTATCTTTAATTCTTTGTGCAGAATGTGCAGAATTTGTTCATGTGCAGAATTGATGGCAGGCAAAAATACCAGATAAGGTTATCAGAGAATGAATGCAGGGGAAATAGGTGAGAAAAAACAATTAAACCAAGAGGGAAAAAAATCTAAATATGAAACTATGCAGTAAAAATGTCAGTGTTAAAATCCTGGCTAGTGTTGGAAACATAGTGTTTGTGTTTTTTGACAGGCTCTTTTCAGCTGAAGATAATAAAATACCTTTCTCTTCCCTGATGCTTTTTATTTATTTATTTATTTTGTAATATTTTTGAATATATCAAAGGGTATTACTTGCAGCTCTGTGGTGCAGTTTGCAGCACAGTCAGTCTTGGGTTCAAATCCCAGCTTGGAATTTGCCTAATTTCACCAAGTATGTGAGAACAGGCGCGTTTGTTTTTTCTTCCACTATTTTTAATATTAACACATCTTATGGTCTCTTAGGTATATGAAGAGCTAATATAAATCATGAAATTCATTCATCAGGAAAATAAATAACTATACCGTGAAATATGTGGATGTAACATTTATTTATTTACTATATAAATAAAACATTGCATTGTGAAATGTAAAAATAAAAATGCTAATTTCCCATTAAATAAGTACAAATACATTCAATATAAAGACATAACTAAATCTGATGTAAGGATAATATATGTATGAAAAAATCATATAAATATTTAGCTTTACATGCATGAATAAATAAACATGATTTAATTGTTTGTTTTTTTAGGAGGTCCCCATTCTTTTGTATCTTTATTTTTTGGGGGTTTGCTGAAATTTTTTGAAACTCCTGCTATTTCCTGCTGTTATTTAACTTTCCAAAGGCACTTTTTTCTGTTGGTGTTGGAAACACTACACTAATGTTACCCTTAACATGATATTTTAACAGTACCACGCCTTTATTGTTAATTTGACACCCTAAAACGTTAAATATTAAACATGGGCTTGTGTTACCTTAACAAAAAGTTGGGTGTCAGTTAGTTTAGACTTTGTCAACTGTTTAAACCCCCAAAATAGCTTCGACATATAGACACTTTGTTGGTGTTAAATGGACATTAGAGAAAGGAGAAACAAGAGAAACTCCCAAACACCTGAGGAGCGTGACGCATCCTGATAAAACAATTCGTCTCCTCAGACTTCTTTCTTTATGAACGTATCATATAAGCTTTATATGAGGACTATTCCTGTTGTGACGGTGTCTGCTGCTTACAGAGCCCTCCTGGTATAATGAGTGTCCTGGATGATGTGTGCGCCACCATGCACGCCAAAGGAGAGGGTGCCGATGGCACACTGCTGCAGAAGCTGCAGGCTGCCGTGGGAACCCATGAACATTTCAACAGCTGGAACTCTGGATTTGTCGTTCATCACTATGCTGGGAAGGTCTGAGCTCATCCACCTCTTATAGAAAGTCTAGATGCTCAAATATACAAACCCAAAAATATATGACCCAGGAATTTATACGCAATTAACAGTATTTATGGCTATGCCAAATAATGGCATATCATGAGCAAAAGAAGACGCAAGATACACAGAAAATTTGGACACAAATCCAACCATAAATAAATAAAAATATCTAATTAAATAAAAAGAGAGTGAAAAATATCATTAAAAGCAAGCAAAAAAGAAAAGAAAAGTGAACAACATTTATCTCAAATTCCAGTTATGAAGTTCAGTTTTCAGGTGTTAATTACAACAGCAGGGGCTCAAGTTCAACAAATAAATTCTGAATAAATGTTTATGTTTATTTTCCTCAGGTGTCGTATGATATCAATGGCTTCTGTGAGAGAAATCGAGACGTCCTCTTTCCTGACCTCATAGAACTCATGCAAAGCAGTGAATTGTAAGCATTTTTGATTAGTATAAAAGCTACATTTCTGCACAAGTTCCTATAAAACTAATTTTTAAAACTATTTTGTTGCTTTAGTAACTTCATCCGCAGCTTGTTTCCTGAAAACCTCAACACAGACAAGAAAGGGAGGCCGACAACGGCCAGCTCAAAGATCAAAGTAAGAATCAATTTTATAGATTTGACATGAGGAATACATTTTATTTAGTTAAAAAGTACTTTATGGATCCCAAAGGGTAATTAAATGCTGTTATAAATATTATTGGGTCTTTTTTAAAGAGTTTGTTAGATTTTAAGAGCTTTATGCATGAATAATCTTCTGTAGTGTGTTTAATGCATTAAAAGCTTTTTGATGTTTCCATCAGAGACAAGCTAATGAACTGGTGAGCACACTGATGAAGTGCACCCCACATTATATCCGCTGTATTAAACCAAATGAGACAAAAAGGCCCAAAGACTGGGAGGAAAGCAGGTCTGGGTGCTAACTGATAATCTAAAGCTGCCATCAGGAGATTCTTCTGTATGAACAGGATTATTTTGTCCATTTGCAGAGTCAAGCATCAAGTTGAATATCTTGGTCTGAGGGAAAATATTCGTGTGCGAAGAGCTGGATTCGCTTATCGTCGCCTCTTCACTAAGTTTCTGCATAGGTGAGCTATTTCTTTGATGCTTAGGTGTTTGCTGGCTTTGAAATAAAAACTTCCTCTAAATGTGTCTTTGATTGCGTTTTTTTTGGGGCTTCAGGTATGCCATACTTACCCCTGAAACATGGCCGCATTGGAGGGGACCAGAGCAGCAAGGGGTCCTTCATCTCCTCCGATCGGTCAACATGGATACTGACCAGTACCAGATGGGACGCACTAAAGTCTTTGTCAAGAACCCAGAATCGGTAAAGAGGTTTTTGTGTGCTATTCGTGTTTCATGGTGAAATAAGGACAAATTTCAACAGGGATGACCAAAAGAACCTTAAATGTCATGTTTTTAGTTTTAAATAAATGAACAACAATCTGACTTGAAGGAATTTTTAAATAGCAGCATAACGACAAAGGAAAACTGCCAGAATTAGTGATTTAAAGGTACACTATGCAACCGGTGTTGATTTTCCAGTGAGGCTCCCTCCAGAGGGCGAAAGTAAAAGTGCACTGTCGTAAATATGCTCAGCTGTTCTCCTGGTTTCTCCGTCAAGCCAGGCGCGGTTGTTTTGAGCTTAGCAGCGAATGACTAACGCTGCGTTCACACTGGATGTAGCTGGCGCGACAGAAGCAGCGAGTTTACATGCAAAGTCAATGGTTGACGCGCGCGTTTTGAGCTGCAGGCGCAGCACGTCTGAGCGGCTGCAGCAGCGCGTCGGGTGCGTTTAACGCAGGGAGAGAGACACAGCGCTGATGATCACTGCTCTTAAACAGTTTATTGACGCCTAAATTAACTTAAAATGCAGAAATCTGCCGGCAGAATATGCAGTTTGGATTATGAAAAACACCTACCAGCTGCCGCGGTGAACCGCTGCTAATGAAGGGATCCATACTGTCGGCGCCCACTGGTATGTGGGGGTCTGAGCGGCTCCGACAGAAAAAATATTGAAGGCAGGATAATAATCTGAATGAACTGACTGCACTGATTACGTTTTCAGGTGTATTTTCTCACTTAAAAACATATTAAAACTACTTTATTCCCACTGATCACAGCAAATATAGCTGCAAGGCAGAGAAAGGATAGTGAAGCTCCGCCCAACACGCCTCAGACACACTTTTGCAGCCAGAGCAGCAAAGCTGCTTCAGCCGCGCGTCAGTACTAACTGGTACAAGCAGCAAAAATGAAGCAGCAGATGCGATTTTGCTGCTTTTGCTGCGTGAACGTAGCATAACTGCACAAAGATTGCCACTGTGCTAGCAACGAGAATGCTTTTAACTGGGGGGTGTAGCAGTTCTCGCCGTAAAGCAAGACTGACTCTCACGAGACTTCTGAGCCTGTGGGTGCGGGTCGGTGCTCCTCCAATTGCAAGTGCAGTATTTCCCCCACAGACCACCAGGGCGGCCGAGAATACCTTTGTTCAACCTGAAATGACTCATTTAGTCATCCATAACGTTATGGAACACATTAATTAACTGAAAAATGTTGCATAGTGTCCCTTTAAAATTCTGTTCTAACCTTGTTAATGCACTTTGAACATGGAAGTGGATAAAGATGTAAAAGCCCAATCTTACTGCACTAAATTATATACACAATATTCAAAACCACCACTTGTTACCCTAAACCAGGGGTAACCAGTTAGAAATTAGTGGGGTCCAAATAAAGAAAACAACAAACAAGTAAAGGTCCAGAGACATTTTTAATTATAAAATTTAACACTGAAATAAAATGAGGTGTTTATGCATACATGTTATAGATTATATTTTTAACTAAAAAAAATTTCCATTTTAAAATCAGTGCTTTTTTGTAGTATAGAACAACAATCTTTCAGTTTGGTACCGTATATAGACGATTTCCTGATTCATATATTTTATAAAATATGTGATATGTGACATACTTTTTATTCTTCCTTTTTTCTGGCTTAACGGGAGCAGTGGGCTTTATGCCCAAACATACTCAAAATGTGCAGGTTCATCTTTGAGCACGGCATTTCGCTTTTCTGTCACCAGTTAACCGCAGTTCCTCCAGCGTCTGCTCCTTCTTTCCCATCCCCCGGCTTGCCACAGGTTTGCCTGCTGTGTCTAAAAGAAGCTAGAAGAACCTAGACTGACACAGCTTATTGGCTAATTGTAATCTATAAATGTTTTAAGTCAGGTTGGGTCCGGATTAGCCAGCAGGTGGGTCCAGATCCGGACCCTGGTCCGCTAATCATGACCTCTGGTCTAAACCTTTTCTCCTAAATGTTAAACTTTCATGTGATACTCTATAGTCTTGAGAAATGGTTCTTCAGATGGTCTTAAACTCTTTTAAAGATTTTAAAACTAGCAGCCAAACACATCTAATTCTTTCAGAAAAATCATTCCATAAAATTCAAAAAATATCCACTGGACTTGGTTTCTAAGATTTGAAGACGTTTCGCCACCTCTCCAGGAAGCTTTCTCAATTCAAATGTCTGGATCTGCAGTGAGTTTGAGTCTTATATAGACAAAGCCTTGTATCGCTTGGAAACATGCAAATGGTAACTGATGAATGGGTCGTTTGGTTCCATCGTTTGCCTGTAATATCTGAAACCTGCCTATGATTGTTAAGGCTCTGTCGTTAAGGAGGTATTGTTCACCGGCTGGAGTGAGTAGGTCCCTCGTTCCTCTGTGATGGGGTGGGGGGTTTGGTGATCTCAGAAAAATCGTTAAAAATGTTCTATAAGATGTAGTTTAGTATTCTTTGATTATGTAAGGACATAAATAAATACTTTCAATACCTTAATTACATTATTTATAGTGAGCTGGATGAATATCTGCTTGCACACGCACATTTAAGCTGATGGTACGGATCATGATTCTGGTACAGGTCAAGTAGTGACAGTCAGTAGCTGCAGCAAGGTGGAAAACATTGTGCTCTCATGAGGCGGGATTTCCTGAAAAGTATCCAATCACTGGCATTTATTTTCTCAGGTTGGTTCCTCCCTTGTACGTGACAAAATTTGACATTAGTGAACAGAAACAGACCCACATGAGAGTAGGAGAGAATCTGCAGATGCATAAAAACTAAGAGAGCAGATTTATTTATCCTACACTTGCTGCTACTGCACTTCTGGTTAGACCTAAACTGCATTTCGTTGCCTTGTACCTGTACCTCTGCAATGACAATAAAGTTGAATCTAATCTAATCTAATCTGATCTAATGAGGAGGAAGAACTCCTGTAGGTGATATATTGGGGGTTCATGATATCGAATCTATGCCAGTGAAGCATTGACCCCATTTGGTGAAGCAAACTGCTTCGGGGATGTCAAGGGAGCGACAGCAGGTCAATTAGGCGAAAAATGCAATAGACTAGTGTTCAACTGATATCAATAGCTGTGATACTTGTGTAAAAAAAAAAAAAAAAAGGCTAAATAGAAACAAAGTGTCTGAAGAAGATTAGGACAGAGTAGTTGTTGGTGAAGCTTTACAAAAAAAAAAAAATTCAGGGAGGGGTTTGAAAAGTGAATGGAAAGAGTCATCATTTGAAGCCTTTTTTGGTTTGGTTCATTAATATGATTTACAGATATGATGCCTGATCTATTAAACATCTCATTCCCTGGTCTAGATAAATCAATAAGTGGACCCTCAGAGGAAAAACAGAAAAGCGCATTAACATTCAGAATGGGCTTTATCTTTTTTTTTTAGCTCTTTCTTCTTGAGGAGATGAGGGAAAGGAAGTTTGACACCTTCGCCAGAACCATTCAGAAGGCGTGGAGACGCTACAATGCCAGGAAGAAATACGAACAGATGAGGGAAGAGGGTGAGCAGCAGAAACACCACAAGTTTCTCAGTCTTCTTCAAACCACATTACACAGTTTGACTTCTGTTTTTTTTTTTTTTTACTCACTTCCTCACAACCCACAGCGTCGGACATCCTGTACAACTCCAAGGAGCGCAGGAAAAACAGCATCAACAGGAACTTTGTTGGAGACTACCTTGGCCTGGAGCAAAGACCTGAGCTGCGGCAGTTCCTGGCCAAGAGGGAGCGAGTTGACTTTGCTGATTCTGTCACAAAGTTTGACCGCAGGTTCAAGGTGGCTGTTTCTATAGTGATTTTTAAAAAAGGCATGATTTCAACCTGCTCTTCTTCCACTTTCTTGCAATGCACATTGTTCATTTCCTCTTTTCTCCCCCACTCAGTCTATCAAGAGAGACTTGATCTTGACCCCTAAGGGGATCTATCTGATTGGTCGAGAGAAGGTGAAGAAAGGACCCGAAAAAGGACAGATACAGGAGGTTTTAAAACGTAAACTGGAATTTGGAAACATCAGTGGCGTCTCGCTCAGGTAGGACTCACATTTTATTGACTAAACATGGTTGCACTAACATTTGTTTTAAATAAGTGTTGCATAAGGGTCATAATGACAATGATCACAGTTTTTAGAAGCATCTGCTGTGGTTGGACTAAAAAAAACACATAGGGGGGGTTCTACTGTACAAGTTCACAGAAGATTGCTTTCTTAGAAATGACTAAAATTATTTACATATCAAACCTTTTTCTAAATTTATATCTTATTATCTGAATGGACAGAATTGTAGAATATAAAATTTACAAACTATTTTTGGGTGATCTGAATAAGTACCACAGATTCAATAAAAGAAAAATATATTTTAAGTCTTATTTACATCTATAGTAAGATTAACCCTCATTAGTATAAAATGTATAAAGGTCATTAGCGAGCTGGCTGTCATCTAATGTCCTTTAAAGTAGCTTTAAGCAAAAGCTGACATTACCCTATTCTAAAATATGTACCTTAATACCCAGTGTTACAAACTGAAGGTCCAATCTAACTGTTGAGGTCAGTTTTAGCATAGTTTTATCTATAAAACCTCAAACCTATAAGCTCTGCAACATTTCAATAGTACATGCAAGACTGAGCATCACAGGGTTTTTTTATGCATGAAGTATCTGCAGTGCTTCTGACACTTTCTCCATTTTGTACAGTCAGTGGGCATTATGCTGAAAGAAGTGACGGTTAAAGTTCTTTATTAATTCATTTCTTGCATATTAAACAGTTTCGACTTTTAAATCTAGGTAACTATAAACTTGCAACTCATCGTTGCATTTGAACGGGGGGCAGAAGTATGGAGTGAAGGTGTTGCAAACAAAGAACACTTTTTCTAAATGGAAATTTGAAAAGAAGGTATTCTATAGATGAGATAAAAACATCTTCATAATTTAAAAAAAAAACGTTTTGAGAGTAACTTTGCTGGTTTCTCAGATTTTTTATTTTTTTTTTTACATTTGATTATATTTTATTTTTTCCCATTGTAATTTTGTATTATTTTACAGATTTTATAATTTCAAATTTTATTTTTCAAATTTATAGTTTTTTAGAGTGAGTTTTACAAATTGCATTCTTTTCCAATTGCATTTTACAGATGACTTTGTCTTTATTTCTGATTTTGGTTGGTCTGCATAGACTTTAGCAACAACACTTTAATTGGTCATTGTGCTCGTTAAGAGCGAGTGTTTGCATTGGGCTTGAAGTGGACAGAATGGGATCTATAAAATATCAAATGAAAATAAGGTTTAATAACTCTTAAACCTCAATATTAAAGAGAAATTTGAATAAATAGAAACTCCAGATATATAAAATTGATTTTTGTTTTAAATATGGAATTTGAAAACATCAAATATGAACAAAAAAATTATATATTTTTTTGAAAAGCTGAAATTTATAAAACATCTAACAATAATGGAACAAAATCTACTCCATACTTAAGGAAAGCAACCATTTGGATTTTGTTTGTTTAAGATGGCATTCATGGATGTGATAAGATAACTATCAATAAAAGCATATTTATGTTGATGTATAAATTGATGAATCACATTTAATAGCATAGATAAGTTAAGTAAAGTATATAAGTTTCTTATTTTTTCCATAGTACCATGTGACATCAGCTCTCCCTCTGTGAGGTTACCCATTTATGGGTTATGAACACAGGTTACAAGGTTATAACTTTGCAACAATACAAGCACCATAACGGTTCGTGACCAACAACCTTCAGGTGCACTACTGCCACCAACAGGTTGGGAGTGTAACAGCTTCATCAGAAATGTGTAATATGAAGTTGATCTTTGCAAAGTTGTAAATTTGTTACTTTTAAACTTGTGATCAGAATTAAACATCTGATGTTACATGTATGTGTGAGCTGACAACTTGGAAAAAATACAAATATGATACAAATACATATCTAATCTCATATATATTGACTTAGATTTATAGGTTTAGACACAATTTATTGACAGTTATTTAATCTCCAAATAAATATATTTAAGCTTCTGTAAAGTGAACCAACCTTTACAATTTCATCTCTAAAATTAGAATAAATATAATTATCTAGTCATATTAAGCCCTTTCTGCAGTGAAAAATAAAGCATTTTAACCACCCATAGATCTCCTCTAACTATAACATGGCTTTTTCAACCATTTTCCAACAATACTACTAATTCAAAGATACCTGCAGCTGCATTTGTCCCTGTTATGAGGCAGTCCCTGAAATCATGGAGGTTTATCACTTTACTTTCTTTATTAGACCAATCTGTGGTTTTTCTATTTTTGGGAAAATGTTAAAGGTGCATTTTACCATATTGTAAGTAACCTGAAACTACTTCCTTCAATCTATTTTGAAATGAGTCATTAAAGTGAAAGATTGAGTGAATAAAGATTATTTATAAAACAGATCAAGCTTACTGTCTTATCAAATGCTGAAAGCACAATGAGAATAATTAAATTTCTTTCAGCTCAGAGTTTTTATAGCTAAACAAGATGGAGCAGCATGATTAGGTAATTCCCATGACTTTCTAATAAGACTTAAAATGTATCACTAAATTGTTTACACACCTGCTAGTTTCAGATTAATTTCAACCAAACATGATGTTGAATGTTAAAGGAGATGAGGCACGAATTTCTCCAACAATAATCAAATCAAAGGCGCATTACATAGTTACCTTCTATAAATAACAACGATCTATGACCTTTTTAATTAACATTTTAATGGCATTACACCAATTAAACCCGTCTTATAAATAAAGAAAGTTTTATATGTTCCGATTGGTGTTTTTAGGAGCTCCTGCTGTCTAAGGCTAGAAGGTCTCCCTGCCATCACCCTAATCTTTAGTCCTTTCCACAAATTTTCCGTCAGAATCAGGTCAGGGTTCTGGTTTAGCCACACTAAAACAAAAATATCACTTTCATAAAAATAAAAAAAAGCATGTTAAAATGAAACGTCTTCTTTCAACCCAGATCTGTGCAGAATATCATAGGCTGAATGTAGGCACTTATATTTGGTCTATATTAAGGTCTGATGCTTAACTTTCCTAAATCAGAGAATCATGATGGTTGAAAAAATAGCCAGGACTTGTATTCTAGCAAGAGTAGCGTTACTTTAAAATGTTACCCTATTATTTAAGAGAAGGTAAAAGTTAAGATACACTAAAACTACTCCTAGAAGAACAGTTCATACACATAAAATACGTAGCTGAGATAAACTCAAGTAAATGTAGCTTGTTAAAACCCTACTCCGCTTATTGTTTATTTTTATACCATTATTAAATAAACTGATATCTCTCTTTTACATTAGTAAAAATGTCGCCCTTAGGTTTTTGTTTCCATTTAAACTGATCTTTTAAAGAACAAACATTCAAGCAGACCTTACTGAACAATATTAAATTAAAAAAGCACTCAGAGAGGGCAGACCTCCGCCAGGCAGCAAATGATGCTTCATATTGTAACCGACACCTATAGCTAAAACTCTCCTGTCTGGATCTAGTCTAGTAAACTAGCCCCACCCACCAACGGTCAAAATAATTTTTGCCTGCGAGTTGGTCTAGCCTCGATCAATGCCCCAGGCCGTAAATCTGGCGGGCCAATCACAACGCAGAGATGTGTTTTGAATGTCTGAATGCAAAGTGGGCCAAAAACAAAGCTGCGCGACGCTGGAGAAAGCACAAAAAGGAATATGGCAACAACTATTGAACACTTTTAGTTTGACTCAGCTTTGGAATCAGTTTTGGAAGGATTAGTCTTGGGTTTGTCGTTGAAACGTGAGCAGGAAGAGGCTCTACGCTCATTCATTTTTAAGAATGATGTATTCGCTGTTTTACCAACAGACTGTTTGTTTACACCCCCCCCCCCACCAGCTTTCTGTCGCGCTTACTACGTCACAGTCAGGTGCGCTAATTTGTCAGAGCGTTGGCCAATAGGCACAGACATGGTTTGAAAAACAATGGGTTGTTCTCATCAACAATCTTCCGATGTCTCATTCATGGAGGCCAGACTAAATTACACATTTAATCTCACATTTAGTCTGGTTTATAAGGCTAGTCTGGATCATGACTTTTGGAGTCCAATGCTGAAACTCTCAATAGTCACTGCTGCCACCCTCTGGTTTAGAGGGGAACTGCTTGTTTCCTCCATAAATCACAATCTCACAATTAAAAAGGATCTTTATAAAAAAAAAAAATCCTGTATCCAGATTATAGTCTGGATGATCACCATAATGTTATGGATTGTTTGAATTGAGGCGCACCGCTGGTAAACATGTCATTAAAATCTGAACATAACTTATCAAGTTATCCTGTACACAGACGGACGAACAAACTCACACAAACTCTCCTAAAAATTGGATCAATAAAGAATTTTACTGATGAGCATATCTGCTATGCTGCTCTGTCATAAGTCTTGCTAAAAGGGCTGGAATTAAACCTAATATTTTCTTAATTTTGTTTTGAAGATGAGCTCAAAGTAACTGGAAGTAGACATGGCCTTGTAAATACTGAACAAATCACACTCTGATTATTGAGCTTATTTCTATTCCTAAAAAGGGATGCTTCCTTCTTCTTTATTTATTGGTGGAACAGAAACTATGATGTTTGTTTTTTCCCCTTTTCAGTACCAGACAGGATGATTTCTTCATTCTGCACGAGGCCCAGTATGACAGTCTGCTGGAGTCCAACTTTAAGACAGAGTTTCTCAGTTTGTTGTCTAAACGATATGAGGAAGTGACCCAGAGAAAGCTGGCCATCTCCTTCTCTGACAGGTAGAGCAACAGAAAGTATTAACAGAGTAGAGAAAACAGAAATAACCCGACCTCTGACGCACCTCTTCTGTCTTTCAGACTGGAGTTCCGGGTGAAGAAGGAGGGCTGGGGTGGCGGAAGCTCCAGGGTGGTGGTTTTTCAAAGGGGTCAAGGAGATTTGGCTCAGCTTAAACCTGGAGGAAAGACTCTGACCATTACTGTAGGAGACGGACTACCCAAGTCCTCCAGTGAGTTAAAATAATGGCCATATCTCTGCAAATCTCCTCATTATTTGGGGGGGACATAATATTGTAATTTATTGGCATTAGTTGTTTTCTATATTCAGATATTTTAACCACCCTTTTTGTTCTTTAGAACCAACCAGGAAGTCTGGTCTGGACGTTCGAGGTGGAGTAAGAAACCATGCACCTAACAGAGGTATGAGACTCTCATTGAATTTATTTCCTTGTTTGCATTGTAATTATTTTAGGCTTGCATTTGCATTATATTATTCAATCTTCAGGACTCTTGGGGATGCTAAAATTGCAGCTGTTGGTCGCCATATGCCTTTCTCATCTTGCAGCACCAATGCCTTTTCTTCAAAAGCTTAAAGCTCTTAGTTCAGAACTTTTCAGCTACCAAGAACAGAAAAGAAAAAAGCAAAAAGGTTGACCAAAATAATTTAAAATATGTTTATTTTGGTATTTTAAGAGCTTTATAGTAAAAGACCAAATTATGACATAATATCAAAGTCAGGACAAATGAACCATTTTGTTTTATTTGTTTATTTTTATTTCACATTTTCATGCAAACGCATAAAGAGTCCTAATAAATCAAAGTCTTTGTTTAGAACCAAAAAAAAACTTTCTAAAGCTTTAAAGGTTCCTTCTTCAAATCAGTTTATAGACTAAAGAAGAAGCTTTAATGGAACAAAGATAAAAGGACAAGCATATAAAAATTAGAACATGATTTTTATCCACATTAAAGGAGCAATATGCAACATTTCTCATTTTATTTAAAAGAACAAAAAATATGAGGCGTCTTTAGATGGAACACAGTTTGATGTCACAAACCATCTCTATATGTCGTTCTCAGTCTCTTGTTTTTAACCTGGGCTGTACGTGCATCCATCTATGTTCACCTGAGAGAGCAGCATAGTTTAGGAAGAAAAAACAGGCAGAATGCTTCCAGAGAATGTAAACATTCAATTGAAGATGATCATTGGACAAAATGACACTCTCATGGTACATGTAGCAGCAAGAGCTGGAGTAGTGATAAAGAGAGCCGCTGTTTGTCAGACATCTTGTTTTGGTCCACAGACAGTGCTCAACAGTGTTTTTTCATGTTTTTTTTAAGAGATCTGCCCACTCCAAAAAAATACACATGCACAACCCTGTACCAGCTTCTGAGAGGGAACGCCTATTAAACTTGTGCGAAGGTATGCACGAGTACCCAACTACCCATTTCTCCTCATGCACACTCTGTTTAAAAGTTGCTGTTCTCATAGCTCATACATACAGAGCCCCTCTGATGACATGGTCAAAAAAAATTTTTAATTGTGGCCACGCAATAAGTATAACGTGCGCACAAAATACTTATTAATAATATTAATATAATTCCTGGACAACTGGGTAAGCAAATCGAGCGCGACTTAGACCTTAGAGAAGGCGCGCTCGATTTGCTTACCCAGTTGTCCACGAAATACTTATTATTAATAAGTATTTCGTGCGCACGAAATACTACTTCATGGCCACAATTAAAAATTTTTTTTTGACCAAGTCATCAGAGGGGCTCCGTACATACAAGCTTACTCTGTCCGAACGTCCTCCCTAACCCCTAAATCCCTCAATCACTATATAAAGGCTCTCTATATCAATAATTTAACGAGTTGTTGATGTTTTGTACGCTTTTAAAAAGGCTGAAAATTGTGAAAGCAGGAACCATGTTACCCCTAAATGAGTATATCAACGTGATGCATCTGTACATAAAAAAAAAGGATTGTTGAACCAGCAGCTGTCAGCCTGTTTGTTTTGTTCTCTTCCCTTAAATAGAAAGATATTTCCAGACTTTGTCCTAAATTTATTTTCTTCTTTCTAGCACACCCCAATGGTGGAGCCAAGTTTTCAAGAGGCCAACCCAACCGGCAATCAGAGATCACCTATTCCTCCCCACACAAACATCCCCGGCCACCTAATGCTCCCCTGCCCAAACTGGACTCCCAAATGGGACGTCGGGCCCCAGCCCCTAACCAGCACAACCAAGGGAACTTGGACTTTCTTAACGTGCCTGACCAAGGCATGTCAGGGTAAGAGATACCAGCTTGTGAAATACAGAAGAATAAGAAGGATGTGATAAGTGAATCACTGAAAAAATGTTTCAATGCCTCTAAGTTTTCATATTCATGAGTGTATTATGTCCTTCACACATATAGGGTGTAGCATAAACTGAATGGCTGAGGTAAATACTAAAGAAATCTGTCAGATAATATTATAATAAAAAGACAGAAATGTGAATCGAGGAAAAAAATGTTTTACAAGTGGCTGACCATACTGAGTATATCAGTGCTTGTTTCGTCTATTAGGTTTAGATATATGTATGTAAGTCAGAATTCTTTGCAAAAGGCGCACATGTGATAAATATTGAGCAGCTTTCTTTAAACATTATGGATCCATATTCAATACCATGAGGCCCCCGGTATGTCAAGCATGGGTTGTTTTGCTTACCTTATGAGCCACATCTTAGAAGAAAACAGTACTGTCTCAGATTTCCTGAAAAGCATCTATTCACAGGCAGTTTCTCTACACTCACATCTATAATCTAAGGTGTTGATGGCAGCAGTCCAGCTGATATTTCTCTCCAGAATAAAGTCACAGCCAAACAGGAACAGACCAGATGAAGCTACTATAAGTAAAATAAGAGTGAGCCTAAATTTAGAGGTTGAACTAACAAATACCTTAGAATGGGAGAATAGAGATAGAATGAAGCAGAATGATGAAAAGTGATCCCTATGTCCTCCAGCAGTCTAAGCCTATAGCAGCAAAACCATAGCAATAGCTCAGGATAACCTGAGCTACTCTAACTATAAGCTTTATCTTAAAGGAAAGTTTTAAGCCTATCCTTAAAAGTAGACAGACGTCAACCTGTAGTTGATTCTTTAGGAGAAGAATTAGCTACCTGATAAGTAAAATATCTCTCTCCCATTAGTCTTTTAAAGGAATTACAAGTACACCTGCAGTGTGAGAGCAAAGTGCTCTATTGGGAATATAAGGAAAATTAAGATCTCTGGTATAAGCTGGAGCTTGGTTATTTACAGCTTTATACATGAGGAGGAGATTTTTAAATTCTATTATGGATTTAAAAAGAAGCCAATATAACAAAGCTAAGATAGGAGAAATGTGATCTCTGTTTTTAATTTTTAGATCACCTGAAGGCTTTTAATTACAGTTTGTGGACTTCCTGATAGTAAGAATTATAATAGTCGAGCCCTGAAGTAACAAATACATGGACTAGTTTCTCAGCATCACAGCGTATTTCTAATTTTTGCAACATTTCAGGGATACAAGAGGGATATTCTAGAAACCACTCTGGTGTGGCATTTGAATGACAGGTCCTGATCAGAAATATAAGACAAAGGTTTTTTTTTGTTTTGTTTTTTTTTTACTTTATAGACCAAATTAATCTCATCCAGATGAAGTGACTGACTAATCAGTTTTTTTTTTAAACACTGGTCCAAAGACAAACACCCTGGGTCATTATATAGATAAATATCATCTAACCTGGCAGTAGCCATGTTGATATGTTTAGAACTGAGTTAAGTTCTAAGTTATCAATCTGGGATGGCTGCTGTTCAGTCTGTCCTTGTAAAGGAGGAACCTTTACTACAATACTTGGAGTTGCTTGGGTTACGTGCAGCTAGTATCTGCGTTCCATAATACCCATTCAGCCAACTTTGTCGTCCATAAGAGCCGCCAAAGGAGACATAATGATGACGATAGGATTCCTCTGCAGCTTCTTGAGTGTTTTCACAACTAGCGAAGTAAGCTCATAAATCAAACTTTCTAAATCCTGTTGGAAGAAAAGCACAGACATCTTTCCCATCTTCAAAAGCACAAAGGGCTTCTCTTTGCTCCCTTTTTAAATGAGAAATTGTTGCTATTTAAGCTAAAACCGAGTCAGGCCAGCGTAGCCGTGTGTGTAATGCCCCGACAATGACCTTCTGACCCTTAGCAAAAAGCAGTTTATTCAAGTATACTAAAAGTGCAATAATTTCATACTTAAAATCAGGCAGTGCACTTAGTTTACTTATTCTGAACTATATTTCACAGACTTATATAATAATAGTATAGTCAAGTGTACTTGACTATACTATTGTATACTTTATTGTTTACTACGGTATATTTTAAGTATACTTTAGTAAACTTAAAAATGTCCCAATTTAGTTGAAGAAGTTTTACTTTAGTAATACTTCAAGTACACTAAAGTACATTGTTCGGATATACTTTCTAAACTTATACTTATGCTTAAGTATTCTTAATAGAATTTACTTCAAGTATACTACTTTTTGCTAAGGGGAGTGTCGTCATTCCTACATGTCCCGCCCCAAAAAACCCCTGCTGGCATGTCATTGGTCCGACTCGCTGGATGTTACGAAACGGACATAATTAATTGGAGTCTTTCAAGATAGATTTGTTGTGAGAGTGAAAACTCAGATCTCACGACAATCCAGCTCACAGCTCAACATAATAGTGGAAATTATTTCCATGCTGGTATTTTGATAAAACTAGTCTATGCATTTGCTAGCTAAAGAAAGTAGCAACGGACAGAATTTCTTTCCATGGAAAATACTACTTATACATAGTAGAAATACTGTTTCTGTCAGTGAGCTCAAGGGCAGCTTTGGCTATAATGTAGCTTGCCACCATCAGTGTGTGGGTGTGAGTGTGCAGTGTATTCTCATTATTAGTTCGTATGAAATCGTACGAAAAGTTATGCACCCTAATTTCGTACGTTTTAGACATTTTTTTGTCGCATTTCGTCGTATTTTTACGTCTTGCCTCGAGACAAGATATCCTTGCACATGCGCATCTTACGCACCATTAAATAACATAGAATTTAACATACAATTAACCCTAACCCTGACCCTAACCCTAAGATACAAAACAGCAAGCAACCTAGTTAGAGAGCTGAAGAAGTGATTATTGCACTGTTTTTCCCAGTTTTACTGCCGTCCGCGGATCTGCTTTTTTCGTCTGTCCGGCTGCGCATGCGCACTGATCTGTATTTTCGAGGAAAAACGTCCAAGACGTACGAAATACTGTGCATAACTTTTCGTACGATTTCACGAACTGATAATGAGAATATGTTGGTGTGTGAATGGGTGCCATTTATAATACAGCTTTCTTCAAAGATTTAAACTTATTAAAATTAAATCAACACCATTCCCTTGTTCAATTATTAAATTCTGCACTTTTGCTTAGCTCTGTTTATATCATTACTTTTTTTGTTTGGTTCTTTGTCACAGGAAGCAGAGGAAAAGAAGCATCAGCCATCGGCCGCCGCCTGCCCCTAAACCTCAGCCCAGACCTCAGGGTCCCCGATGCCGAGCCTTATATCAGTACATCGGGCAGGACACCGACGAGATCACCTTTGAGGCTAATGATGTCTTCGATCTCGTCAAAGAGGGTGTGTGGCCAGCAAACAGCTCGGAACCAGACAGGTTCAGTAAATGCAGTTTGAATGTAACAGAACATGTTTTTGTTTCCCTCTGCAGATCCATCAGGATGGTGGACAGGCAGGATTCATGGCAAAGAAGGTCTCTTCCCTGGTAACTATGTGGAAAAGATTTGATGAGGACTTTTCATGCACATTCTTGTTTTAACAAGAACAAGGTGTATTCTGTCCCTTGCAGCAGACTCTGCTTTACAAAAAACAGCCTGAGAGTTATTCAAAGTACATTTGAAGTTCTTGTTTAAGGGTGACACTTTGCTGACATTTGAGCTCTGACTAATTATCTGTGGCAGAACACGGTATGAAGGGAAGACAGGAGGTGTCATCATTATTGTTAAAACGGGACTACGAGCTGCTCAGGTTTCATCTCGGTTGTTGTGTAAAATGATCCATCTCTGAATGGCCCAGCAGCAGGATCTTTGACTTTATCTTCCTTTGAGCGGTTCCTCGCTCCATACAACTCAGGGCTTCTGCGGAAGAATGACTTGAAGAAAAATCTGCGTTTACCTCCAGCTTTTCTCAAGATCCGTCATCTCTTCTACCCCACACTGCTGCTCACTGTCTTCATTAACAGCATCAGATCATTCAGTAAATTAGCTCTTAACAGAAAAAGCAAAAAGTGAATTTGATTGATTCTTTTGCGCAATAAACAAAACTTGCTTCAGATCAAATCAAACCTTTTTTTTATGTTTGACATTTCATTGCTATTGTTGGTATATGATATATAAGATTATTGGTACTATGTCACAGATTTTCTCATTTTAAAAAAAGAAAATGTTTTCATACATCTCCAAGCATACATTTTGCACGGCCTTATGTTGCATCGACAGTAAGTTATACGATTTTGGGACAATCCAGGCAGGTTAGTTTTTCATTTTATTTTGTTTTCAGTTGCGGATTTATTTGTAAAATAACACCTTTTTCTGTTTGATGTTTGATTTATATTTTTCTTTTTAATATTAAAGTTAAGTATTTTTAAAGAACACTGTGTCCTTTGATTTCTTTATTTAGAAGAAGCTGCAAAATTCATACAGCTTATAAAAGAAAAGTCTATGTGGCAAAAAATATGTTTGGTAGAGGGGATCAATACAGTCTATCTGTTTTATTGTTACCCACTCCTGATATTTCAGTTTAGATGTACACCTTTGCATTTTGAAGCAGAACATTTTCATTTGAACATTTGTGTTGTTTTTCACAGTTTTTCACCTCCAGGGGGGGTCACAAGGCACCAAAGGTACAATTACTGTGACGTGATCCCTAAAGTAGTTGGAGGGCCAAAAGATATCAATTACATAAATGTTAGAATCCTGTAAAATAAATAAATGTACCATGGAAAATGTAGATGGATCGCAATTTTGATCGTCTGGATCAGGGGGGCTGCAGCCTTCAACTCCAGAGGAACAAGATGCTCTTAGGTTCTGTGCCTGACTTAATATATTATACAATGAACTGTTGCCCTGGTATTATTTTTTGTTCGTTTTACTAATTTGTCCTTGGCCGCACCATGGTCTGGGACCACCGCTGCTGATGTTTTACATAAAAAAGTCTGGAGTTTTTCTTTAGAATTTCATCTTCTTTTCAAATACAAAACTTATGCAGACTATGTTAATAACACAAGAAAACAAGATCTATTAAGTTGTTTATATGACATATGCTTTGTAATCATAATAGTGGTAGCACTGTTCATTCACACTTTGTCAGACCTACCAGGAAAACACAAATGATAATTTTGAATACCAGTCATGTTCCAATTTTACTTGTCAAGGAATAAAGATGTTTAGCGTTAGTTTTTGACTGAAGGGTGTAGCAGGTAGTGAGTCAAAATCCCCAACTTTAAATCATAAAAGACAGATTAATTGGTAGGGATGTACAATATTGAACACTGAGAACAGGTACTGGCATTTAGCAAGCCTGCAGCGATAAAAAAATAAAATAAAATCTTGAAAAAATATATTTTTCCTGGTTTTCCTGCACAGGGATTTACCATTTAATTCACTTTTAGGAAGCCCAAATATTAGACTGTCACTACAACACATTTTCAATTGTAAAAAGTTTTTCTTATCTTATCCCAGGGCTGAATTGGTCCTGATTTGACTAAAATAACCCAATCTGGATTGTTGATTTCCAAGTAGATTTAAGAATGTGCTATAACTACAATTATACTTTCAAAGCATCGCAATTAACTGGATAATAGTTACTTTAAATATATGTATATATATATATATATATATATATATATATATATATATATATATATATATATATATATATATATATATATATATATATATATATATATATATACTCACTATATCAATTTTTGTTTAAAAATTAAAACAAAATTTTTAAAGTAACAATAAAAAAGAAGAAAAATAAAAGTTAATTTGAAGCACATAAAGATAAAAATATGATAAATGCAGGCAGTAAAACAAATAAAACCATTCAAAGGCAGTTCTAAACAAATGGATTTTTAACTGTGACTTAAAAGAACTCAGGCTTTTAACTCTTTTAATGTCTTCTGGTAGTTTGTTCTTGATGGAGCATAGGAACTAAATGCTGCTTCTCCATGTTTGGTTCTAGTTCTGGGTGAACAGATTAGGCTGAAATTAGAAGACCTGAGTGGTCTGAGAGGTTGATTGACTGATAAGAAATCTGTTATGTATTTAGGCGCTAATCTATTCAGTGATGTATAGACTAACAGAAGGACTTTAAATTATATTCTCTAAGCTACAGGGAGCCAGTGGAAGGACTTCAGAACCAGGCTGATGTGTTCTACCTTCTTAGTTCTAGTGAGAACATGGGCAGCATTGTTTTGGATCAGCTGCAGCTGTATGATGGACTTTTTAGGAAAACCTATGAAGACACTGTTACAGTAATCAATTCTACTAAAGATAATGCATGAATGAGTGTTTCTAGATCCTGCTTGGACATTAGTCCAAGTTCTTCGTGTTCTTCGGGTGATAAAAGGCTGACTTAGTAACAGCCTTTATGTGCCTCTGAAGGTTCAGGTCTGAGTCCATCATGACGGCAAGATTTCAGCCATAATCAGTTGTTTCTAGATGAAGTAGCTGTAGCTGTGAGCTACCTCTGGGACTCTCTTCCTTTGGTCCAAAGATAGATCAGAAGAAAATGATTACCTTAGTTTTGTTTTTATTAAGTTGTAGAAAATTATGGTACATCCACAGACTGATCTGTTCTAACCATCTAATCCACGCACTGATGGGTTCATAGTCACCTGGTGACATTGTGATGTAAAGCTGTCTGTCGTCTGCATAGTTATGGTAACTGATCTGGTTGTTTGCTATAATCTGTACCAAGAGGACCATGTAGATTTTGAATAGGAGGAGCTCCAGAGTGGAGCTTTGAGGAACACCACATGTGATTTTTCTGGTCTCTGATTTAAAGTTCCCTACTGACACATAAAAGTCTCTGTCCTTCAGTTTAGGATTCAAACCAGTCCAGTGCTGTAACAGAGAGGCCGACCCAGGTTTCCAGACGCTCAAATATAATCAAGAGATTAACGGTATCAAATGCTGCACTGAGGTCCAATAATACCAGAACTGTGATTCTGTCTGAATTTATATGGATGTCATTGAACATATTAATCAGGGCAGTCTCTTTACTGAGGCCGGCAAGAAAACCTGACTGGAAAAAATCAAACAGCTGGTCATTGTTAAGAAGGCATTTAACTGTTGAAACACAAGTTTTTCTATAATGTTATTGATTAAGGGAGGTTTAAGATGCTTCTGAGGGACCAATTTTCCAAATTATCAAGCAATAGTTCGATAATTGCTTTTTTAAGGCTCTAGGGAGAAACATCTGATGTAAAGGATGTGTATTATATTTGAATAAAATCAGACTCTAAAACAGGTAAAACCTTCTTAATAAAACCTGTGGGTAAAACATAAAGACAGCAGGAAGAGGAGTTTGAACAGTTTCTTCTAAACATTTTTTTGAATAAACAGTCCTCCTACCACCTATATAAGGATGGAAATCGTATTCAAAGAAGCAAGCAGGAGACATTTAATATTACAGTTGTTTTCTTTACAGTATGAAAGAATTAGTTATTTACTGAAACACATTTTCAGAGGGCACTTGCTCTGCAGTCTGCTGTGATTGGATTGGCCGAATCCTCCTGATTTCTGTTAAATCCGCTTATTTCTTTGGTTGGTCAGTATGTTTATGCCTCAGAGAGCAGTCATGGTCCTAGATCATATTTACCAGGGTTTCCAGGTTGGGGCCGTGTTTTTTTTTGTTTTTTTTAATAGCACAGAACAAAACGAGGTTTCTGCCTCATGGACTAAAACTGGTAGTTGGTTCCACAGAGAAAGAAGATAACTAAAAGATCTGCCTCCCATTCTACTTTTAGAGATTCTAGGAACCACTAGTAAACTTTCAGATTGAGAGCAAAGTGCTTTGTTAGGAACTTAAAGTACAATCAGATCTCTGATATAAATCTGAGCATGGCCTTTTATTGCTTTATATGTGAGAAGTAGGATTTTAAATTGTCTTCTAGATTTGACAGCCAATGAGGAGAAGCTAGGATAGGAGAGATATGATCTCTCATTTTAATTTTCATCAGAACTCTGGCTGCAGCATTTTGGATCAGCTGAAGGCTTTTAACTACAGATTGTGGATTTCCTGATAGTAAATAATTACAATAGTCCAGCATTGAAGTAACAAGTGCAAAGACTTGTTTCTCAGCATCACCCCTGGACAGGATCTTTCTAATTTTTGCAAAATTTTGATTAAAGAAGAAAATTCTGGAAACCTCTTTAATACAGGATTTAAATGACAGGTCCTGATCAAAAATATTTTTAAATTTCTTATCTGAGATCAATTTAATCCAACCCAACTGATGAACTGACTGACTAATCAGCTTTTTTTTTCAAAGACTCTGGTCTTCCTATCTGGATTTATAGACAGATATACCTAAGTATCATCAGCATAACAGTGGAAATGAATCACATGCTGTCTAATAATCCTACAAATTATTAGTATAGGTTGGATATCCACTGGTATTCACAGCCCTTCTTCCATCTCATATCTTTTAAAGAAAACCAATGAAAACTGGTCAAAGGACATTACTTGGATTCAATACTAACTTCGTTCCATACTTTATTGGAACAGGTACAATTTTACTCATTGTAAATGTATAAAGCTATTTTGTTTTTCAAGCTTTATACATTATTTGTGAGGTATGAAATTAAACCAGCACATAATTTAAACAAGCAGGAATGAGTGAATAATGGGTTAGTGTGGTCAAGATAGCCAGCCTTATAATTGATCTTGATGGCCCTTTCCTGCAGCGTGCATTGTGGTTTGAATGATGTCCTGTAGAAATTACCCTTGACTTCTATACAGCAGCTAAGCTATGGTAAAATTCAGTGAGTAGTTGTAATGGAATTGCAATCATTCTAGATATTTAAGTCTAAATATGTTTGATGTGAGACTTTCAGCAGATCTTGTTGTCAATAATTATACCTAAGAACTTAAATCAATTGACTCACTCCATGTCTACTTTATGATGTCTGATGTTCACATGTACATTTTCTTTTTATTTTGCACACAAAAAAACAACACATTTTGTAGTTTTCTAGATTTAAGAACAATCTCTTGTTGTCAAGCCAGTTTTTTTTTTTTTTTTTTTTTTGGCTTATTCCTCTATGATGTGATATCATCCAGGAGTTGCTACGAGCTCTCACCCTCACAGAATATATTCATATCATCTGTAAACAAAACAAGGTTAATGTGA